AAAAAATAATAATAAACTTCTAATTTAATGGCCAATATAAGTGTACAAATATACTTATCATCACTACATATGCATATAAAAAATGGCTACAACAAGAACAATGCTGGGGAAGACGATCAAGTTGATTGTCATGTCGATCGTAATTGCCAAAATCTCAACATGTACCCAAGAACAAGTATGATATTTTTTTAGTTTAGTAACCAAATTAAAAAGAAGGACAAGGAGAGAGGAACAAAAATTAAATTATGGAATTCCATTTCATAATCCATCTTCTATCAAAGAAACTTTAAAACTTCTAACTCTACCTCTTCCATCACTATTATTATTGTTGTTGTTGTTGTTGTTCTTCTTCTTTTTCTTCTCTTTATTGTTTGCCACCCCCTCCAAGGCCGAATTAACTAAATGTGTCTTCAATTCAATTTCAATAGGCACAAGGTTGATTTTCACAAAGGTGCAATTATTTACTTCCACATTCTTTATATATACATCCGATTCTATTTACATCCTTATTAAAATTTTAAAAAATTACTATTTTCATCCACATCAAATTGAAATGTTGTCCTTATTAAATTCATTCATTTAAACACTATAGATCCATACAAATTTTACATATTCATCTACTACAAATGCAGTCCTAATACAATTTCAAAAATTAAAAAAAAAAATCACTATATTCATCCACTCACTGTCAGTATTAAATCTGGTTCTTACTTTTCATTTTCTATATTGTCATGTCGGTACTTTAATATTTCGTTATAAAAGTTGGCAAATCTATTTTCCTGCATTTATAGGATTCTATCAAAAGTATACCATTCAAGCAACTAAACAAATATGATATGAGCTAGGTCGCGCCGCATAATATACTTCGGGATCAAAGTTGCAATTTTCTCGAGAATCCTATTTTGACTCAATTTCTTATTTTTGGCAAGTTTATTATTTTAGGTCTCTTAAATCACGTTTTTTCCGAATTTCTAGACTTTAGTATGAATAGGAATTTTATTTCATTATTGTAGGAAGAATTTTGATATTGAATTAATTGAGAGGCAAGATTGCTTTCTTCTTGTTCTTCATGAACAATCAACGAATTTATCAAGATTAATCTTGTGGCATTCACCAATCAAGGGAGATTCGTAGATTTTTGTGATCATGTGGTCAAGGTATTCTTGTAATTGTCTTGATTTCTTGGTTCAATAATTTATTGGATCGATCATACAAATTCGGGCTTTGGTTTCATAAATCTTGTAATCAAAAGTTCATCGTATCCTTTTGATTGTATTGGTTGTTTGATTCATTATTTTTGGGTCAAATCTATAAACCTTATTGTTTAGAACTTTTTAGGGTCCGATTTCATTCTTCTACGAGTTCTGTAGTGCTCTTGTTACGTGAGTTCGCATCAAAATCATATATGCCTATAAGCTCATAATTTTGGTTGTTTGTGCTTTGGCTGATAATTTTAGGGTTGTTTCCTTTTGTAATGTAAGAATATTTGGATAGATATTTAAACTCATTTTGAAAATTCTCATATATCTTCATATGTCAAACCAATGCTTTAAAAAGTATGAAAGTAATATTCCATTTTTCATATCATGAAAGAATTATATCTATAATAATGTGTCGATTTTTTTTTTTTTTAAATTTCTGTTGAAGGGGATATTTTATGATTAGGGTTTTATGATTTTAGATTAAGATGGTTTTTTTTCCCGCTTATGAGCTCATAATTTTGGTTGTTTGTGTTTTGACTGATAGTTTTAAATTTGTTTGCTTTTGTAATATAAGAATATTTGAACAGATATTGAAACTTATTTTGAAATTTCTCTATTTTGAAAAGCAAGAAAAAAAATAATAATCCATTTTTCATATCAAGAAAGAATTATAACTCTGATAATATATTTTTTTTGTTGAAGATGATATTTTATAATTAGGGTTTCATGATTTTAGACGAAGATGGAATTTTATTATTATTAGAATTTTAGTTAAACACAAACTCTAAAAGAATATAAAAATGTTTAAAAGAATTCATAAAAATAAATATTAGTGGATGGAGTTAGAACGATATATTTTTATTTAATTTTATATATGTCTGTTTAGGTACATTTACATAAGATAAAATATATAATATAATTATATTTTTAAAAGTAAATGTATATATAAAAACTTTGAATGTAAATAGCAGTACCTATTCACAAGCTGAGATGTTGGGACCACATTGACCACTTATTTGATCATTGTGGCAACGCATACACAAGTAGAATATATTTGAAAGTTTACAGCTTAATAAACCAAACTCAATTTAAAAATTCAAGACTACTCACAAATTGATTTTGAAATAACGTCTTACTCAAACTTATTTATAATATTATTATCAAGGTGCATCACCAATGTTCAAAAGGAATAAAAAACTTCATGGTGTTGCCCCCTGGGCCATAGTCCAGTGGTGCAAAGGACGGGAGTGAGGTTATCTCACGCCTTGCTGGCAGCTACATAGTGGGGGTTCGATTCCTGAGACATGGAATTAGGCTCCTTATAAGCGCAGTGTACAGACAATTCTTGTTTCCTAATCTGTTGGGGGCACATCTCACGATTTACCTCCCTCGCAAAGATCTAGGAGCGGGACGGTGGGGGTTCTCAAGGTTGGGGTTCAACATTTTTTCTTTTTTAAAAACTTCATGGTGTTTCCGGGGAACGTGAGTCCAAAATGCACGTTAGTCTTATTCTAGTTCCAAGTAGGTGGCAGTAATTTTATTCTAGGTTATCAATTTTGACAACTTGGTTGGAAGTTTAGGTGAAGAACAAGGCCAAACTAGATTACTCAATTTTGAATCTTCTCCACCCTCACCAACCATGGTAGCTGCCGCGATGCGGTGGTGTCGACTATCAAAACCAACAAATTACACTTCTAACAACAAGAGCTTTTATCTCGAAAAGTTTTTCCGATGGCTTTTTTCGACAAAACAACTAAAATATGATTTTTTACAATAGTAAGTTCCGTAACTAAAAGCGAAAAATTTTGTAGTGTCGCATCCTCCATTATTGCATCACTTGTTAGAAAAGGAGATAAGCAGCTGAAAAGGACATGTATCAACAATATGGATGGCTATGGTGAGGATAGGATACGATAGGATAGACCCTAATCAGACAAAATTGGAAGACATAGTGGTAAACAACTTCAAGATATAAAGCAATTTAATTTTTCTGTGAACCATCTTTTTAATAAATTATTTGGGACATAATTTGCAATATAATGGAAAGAGAGATTATTGGTTGTTTTTTATGCCCGTTGTGGGCTCCATTAAAAATGAATATTGGGAAAAATGTATCAGCATATGAAATCAAATGTTAGATATTGCAAAAATATATCAGTACCAAAAATATAATAACTCTCAACATTTATTACAGTGCGCAGAGTAATTGTATTAATCAAGAGGAGCAATACACAAAAAATGCCCTTACCAAGGGCGGGGCCCCATAAAAATGATTTTTCCAATCTACTTCTTTTATGATCTCGTTGGAAATCATATAAAGACAATTCCTATTTGATATAGCTATTTGGGCAAGTATTTTACGATTAAAAAGCAACTATCTCTTGTATAGATCATGTATTAATTTACTATAATTATAAGATAGTCCCCTTTTGCGAATTACTGCGTAAGTCCTACATATAATAATCACATTTAAAAACTAACATACTCGTTATTGTATTAATCAATGGATAATATCCGCCCACGCCCTCTATGCACCCCCACTCCACAGCACCTAACCTGTAAAAAATGTTCAAAAATTGAATTTTTTTTTGTGATTACACCTCAGCCTCAGAACCACCCCTACCTTACCCCCACCCATCCCCACGCATAGACTAACTATATTTTCTGTGACCAAATTTATTGTTTTTGACCATGCACGCATTACGTAAGACTAACATGTGTCATCTATTACTAATTGTAACCAACTTTATTTTCATAGTGACTTTCTGTGTCCAAATTAATCTTAATTGAGATGGCATGTGACCAAGTAGCAATCGATCACAATTGACACAGATTTCGTCACAAACTAGTCACAATAAATACACCGTAGACCACCACCGCAATCATCCATCAGTTATCACCACCATCACTTTCAATGCACCACCACTACCATCTTCAACTCAAATTCACAACCATAAATTCTACCTTCACAAACCTATGTTATTTGTGAACAAATTTGCATTCATTGTGAGTGTATGTGGCCCGGACAGTTAACATAGATCTGGTCACAAACAGTTACAATGAAGATAGACTTGGTTACACCTAATTTTCTTGACCACCACTACTCCCAACAACTTCAAGGACCAAAGGCGCACAACCTCACTACGACCACATGTACCACTAGCAACAAAATCATCATTGCCTACACCACCACCAACGAACCACAGATCAAAAAAGCATCCACAGATCGAAAAATCACCACCACCATTTGCAAAATACCAACAATCATCTCAAAACTCCGACTAAACAACGAATCTGATAAAAAAATCGCTCACCAACAATCCACCAACATCACAAACTACCTAGATCAAATAAAAACCACCAACAAAGGTGGATATCGACTATGTGACACTCACCCATATTGTTGGGTGCGATGAGATCGCCTTTGCACTATGCCTGCACCGTCATGCACAATGACTGCGCGAAACTCATCTACGCTGTGCAGTCACCACCTCCATAACCTCTTGTCACCGTTGGGGTAAATAGCTCCTATTAAGATCAAATCTTGGAAAAACAACGGTGCTGGACTACCACACAGAATTTACCATTTCGCGAGCAAACGATAGCCTCCAATTTTGACATTTCATGGTTGTCGGCTCAAATTTCAATGTGTGTGAGGAGAGAATGGGTTGGGTGAGAAAATATTTTTAGGGTTTGAAATGAATAAGGTGAGTGGTGGGTACATAAATTAGTTTTAATTAAGTTTTTATTAATTATAATTATTGAAATCTAACTACTATCTGATTTCTAAAATGAAAATTAATATTGAAATGTAGGGTTTGGGGTTCTTTTCTCTCAATCAAGTGCTACAGAGAGTTCTTACAAGTACAAAATGGACTACGAGAAGAGAGAGAACTATTCAGAATAATACGAGACATAATATAACACAACACCAAAGGAAAAAGCAAACTCTGCTGAGAGATTTATCAGTTTGGATCATATGTCTTCTTAGCCTAGGACTGCTGCTACCTTGTAGACGATAAGAATTCGGATGAGTATATGAAGTCGTCTCCGAATTCCCAAAAATCCTTGAGTAGACCATTTCACCAAACATCCCTATCATCGGATCAATCAAATTTGTAGCCATGCCACCGTTCGGAAGCATTGGTGAAGCCGTGTAATTGTGAGAGTGTGGCTGATATGGTCGAGATTGTTGTTCGTAGCTTTGATGATGAATTTGCCCAACTGGATGCAAATCCCCGAGGGTAGTAGTCGGGATTAGCACATTACCGCCACATCTAGGACTTGGAGGCCTCTGTGGTATGAGAATACCGAGATGTGAAACTTTATCCTTAGATGTCGTACTGTTTCCGCGGCCATAGAGTGGGATTAAGGTTTTTGGTGAGATCTTCGCTTTGCAGACGGGACATTGTGGATGCTCGTGCTCAGGGTTTTCAGGGGAGACACTCTGCAAACTTATCCACCGGTAGATACAGGGCCAACAATAGAGGTGACCGCAGAATGTGATCACCGGGTCGTGCACTACGTCCAAGCATATGTTACATTCAAAACCACCGGAAATATTCGTCCCAGGCTCGTCGTCTGCAGAAGATAACGATTTGCATTTCTCTAACGCAGTTTTTCCTTCATTGTAATCACTTTGTACTGCAGCCTGCTGGAGATATTGTTCTGTGGCCATTTAGTTCAATCAAATTCTAACAGCTTTGGTGCCTGCCTGCACATAACATCATCAACGAAAGATCATTAGAACTCAGAATCACTTTATTTACGTCCAATCAAGAATTACGAGAAACCAATCAAACAATGTTGAATATTTAGAGAACAGAAGCACGTTAAATTGGACATATATCCAGAACTTCAAACCCCACCCTCGACCACCCCAAAGAATAAAATAAAAGCCTACATGCCTCATAATTCTAGCAATTGACAAAAGGCAAGGCAAAAGAATGAGGTCCAAATCCATCCTTGGGTATATTAAATTGTTTCATTAAATGATTTTTAAGGAAATAGTGCAGTGTATAAATTCATTGAATGGCCTCAAGCTGCAACTACCCCCTAGGACCACCCAAAACCAGGTCCTATCAACTGCAATTTTCAATTCATATGCCTTGCAATTATAATAACTAATCAAGTTTTGGACATACTGAAAATGAATAACCATCAATCTAAAACCATGCATTAATGAACTTTTTACAACTATATAGCAGTACAATCTACCTAAGACATAATAGATTGAACAAGGACGTTACGTACGTGTAGATGATAATGAGAAGACAGAGATTAAAAGACGAAAAAAAAAAAAAGACATTATCTGTCGCTTTCCTCTGTTCCTAAGTTATTATCCTGTTCTATTCTCTACTTTTAAATGAAAAGATATGCAATAAAATTAGTAGGTGAGAAGTCGATACTAATTATGCAGCAAAAGCCTCTCTAATTCTTGCAGAATTTTAGCCACTACCAACTAAATTTTAAATTAACTAGACACCACATAATTTCCTGTAGAATGTTTAACAGAACATCAAGCACGGCAATGCTGAATCCACAGGGATGCTTCTAGCAGATGTAGTCAATGAGGATCTTCCAAAATCTTCAAATATGGGTTCCATAGAGACATTGTTGGCACTATTTCTTCCAATATCTAATATCATATCTAAACCAAGAAAATAATGAATAAATAAATAAATATGTGAAATTAAAACAGAATTTAGCAATCTAAAAAAGGAAAGATCAAATGAGAGAAATTTATACTAGACTTAATTGTTATCTTATTTTAAAAATATTCTTTCAATTTTTCCATCTTAACCAAATAATCACTGCAGATCATGTGATGATTCTAAGAATCTAGCCCAAAAAATAAATAAATAAATAAAAATTTGAATATTTGGTCAAAAATTTATTGGTTACACAAATATAAAAGCTTGTATTTGAAAACAAAGAAAATATATGGGCTGATATACCAAACCTATCAACATATCCAGAAAAATTAAGTTCTACATCCTATATTGTTTAACTTTCCGAAAATTTTCATAAACCTCCATCCACAGTTTGCTGAATAGCTGGAAGAAAAAAGATCTAAAGACCGCCAAAACATCTGTAAAGATCAAAAGAACTTAACACCAAACAAAAACATAGAAAATGAAAAAGAAATTCAGATGATCTTGAAGGGATTTAAGAGCAATAACAGAAAGTCACAATCACAAAGGCTGCAGAAGGGTGCCTAACTATAACAAAAGTGAACCTACAAATTGATAACAAGTTCATTTTTTATTTAATCCTAAAATAAGTTATTTCTAGGTTGTCCCTATAGCATCCCAAGGAAGGATATCATGTGCAGTACTATGAGTTCGAGTTTTGAGCTTCTAATTTCACTCAACAATGCGAAATATTTCAGCTTTGTCCCCAACCCCAAACTAGCCAATCTCTTTCTTTAAAAGTTTCTATTTTGGCATTGCGGAGGTTCAACAATCCAAATTTAGTACTCTATCTCACAATCAATTAGAAGGTGGGGTTTGATGACAAGAAACCATAGCCATGATCTTGAACCAACAAACAAGCTGCTTGCCTTACAAGTATAGTCCTCAGTTTCATAACAAGAATCACAAAGCACCAAAATCTCCAAGTAACAAGCAAAAAATATGAAGATCAAGACAATTACCACATTATTTAACATACCACCTTCTCCCAAGCCCATCAGAATAGGGAATAAGATGTAGAAAAAAAATGTAAACCACAAATTGTAACTCATCAATCAAGCAACAGAAGTAGAATAGCAAATCCAATAAATTTGAATTCATGATTACATAAAATTTCTAGCCGTGTAGCAACAATCATTCCCCTGAGAACTAACAACAACAAAGAGTAAGTGCAGTTCCATAAACCCAAGACATAAAGATTCATACACACAGAACAAGAAAAACCCCAAAAACGCCATATAATAAACAAAAAAGAAAAGAAAAGAAATCTTCGAGAAATTCATTCAACAACAAATATTCAATACAAACAAAAAGAGGTGGGTGTTGGGTGAACAGAATATCGAGATACGTACCAAGACGCAACGAGGGTCTTCTTGATATCAACAAATTTTTCGGGTTCAATAGTTTCTGTCTTGAATATGCTTCAATGCATACGAAAATATTGAGAGAACAAACGATGAGACAGATTTGCTGGAAACAGACTAAGAAAAAGAAGCGTTTTTAATGGAGAGAGAGAGAGAGAGAGAGAGAGAGAGAGAGAGAGAGAGCGAGCGGGGGCATTCAAGATGATAAGCCAAGATGAAAGGGCGGTCTCTCCTATCACTATATATATATACGGTATAAGGATTGATTCTTCCCCAAAAACAGAGCTGCTTCTGGATAAACACGCAATTACGCTATGGACATCCTTCATTCCCTTGACTTGGCACTGACTGTGCAACTAATAATTATCAACATCGACTCCCCAAATCCACTAACAATTATATTTTCATTTTTCTTTTATTTTCTATTTTACGGATGTAGGATTTATTTTTTATTGTTGAGTTTAGTCGGCGTTTGTTTCCCATTTTTGGAAGAATGAGAATAAAAAATATATTCGTTACGAATCCCGCACAAGAGATAGAAATTCAAATATGATGGTTTAATGTGATGGATAACAGTCATATTTTTCATTTTAATGAAGAAAAAATTGGAATGTTAATGAAACTTGCTAAGCCGACATTAAATAGGTTTCAAACTTGTCATCCTTTTAGTTGTCCCTCAACATGTTCCTAAAACTTCAGTATGGTATCTTTTTGTAATAAATCACAAGATCTGAACACAGTTTTTTACATCTTGTTATCTTCTCATTTGTTAAGAAAACGTGATATACTGAGGTGATTCACTCAACTAAGGTTGAGAAAGTAAATAAATTTTTTTTCTAAATATATTAGATAGATTATTTTTTAATTTTAAGTAAAATACTTACTTTTTTAAAACCTAACTCTTACTTCTAAATAATAATTTGCTTATTTTTAACATAGATGTGTAAAAACTATTCTTTTTTTAAAATCATACTTGTAAGTAAATCTTTGAGTTTAAGTGGAAATGCTACGTTTAAGATAATTCAAATTTACTTCACATAAATTTTTTGAGGTTAGTCAGCCATGTACTTAAGTGCATGTCCTTTTTGTCACAATCTAATTAATTAATGTGTATTATAAAAGCATTAAATAATTGAAAAAGGTTGAGGAAAGGAACCTATAAATTAACTAAAGGTCTCATTCTACTGATACTACTGCTTGGCTTAGAAATATTAGAAGTAACAATGACAAAAAATATTGTTTAATTTGTTCAACAAGAAATGACCTACTTAAACTACAATTTGTTGAAAAGGGAATTTAGTTTTATCGAAATATTTGAATTTACAAAGGCCCCATCTTAGAATTAAAATTGTTAAATTAATTAGGCCGGATTGATTCAAATGTAATGCCAAAAATTTAACCTCGTGACATATATTACCATGATCCATCTTAAGACAATTGTACCCATTGTCATAGAAAACTTTCTTTATCTGGTTTATTTCATGACAGCTAAGATTTAATTTCATTTAGCCTCCGCTTGAATATAAATTTAGAGCCTGTCTGGCTGTGCTTTTTCACCAGATTTTCAGCCAAAGTAAAGCCGTTGGTCCAAGCTGCGGGTCCCACCTCACACACAGGCAGTCAAAAATTGTGGGCTGCAACGGTAGGAAAATTGCTGCCAATGGTCACTTTTTTTATTTTGATTTCTCCCAGACGGGCCTTTGATAAATCGAACATTACTTTCAATCACAGAATCATAACTATAACTCACTATTATTTACAATTTTGTGGAATCGCCACAATTCATCTTATTATTCCTCGTTGTAAATCATTAATTAATTTGTCAAATGATGGCTTAGTGTTCTCATGAAAGAAAATTAAATTAAAAGTGGCATTTGAATATTAAGTGAAATGTTTATTCAAATAAGCTCACTCACTTGATTATAATGTAAGCAAATTAATATAGGAGCCTACGGTCCAGTTAATATTTAGTGAAGGATGTGTTGACCGTTAAGTCTATAGATGAATTATGAATTATGGTAAACGAACTGAAAATGCTTAAAATAATAAGATAATTTTGAATGTTTTAAACATGTTAATTTCAAATTCAATGATTCTATCTATGAAGAGTTATAAATATGAGAAAATTGTACTATTAGTACATTCTGTAAGTAGTAATAATTAAACCCTTAAATTTAACAGAATATGATATGTGTGTTTGCGAAAGGTTGAGTTTGGAACACTATGGTGATTCTAAAGAGTTTAGGGATTAAAAGTAAAATTTATGAAAAAAAAAAATTAAGAACCATAATTTGAAATCTTGACTAACGAGTATATTTTATTCACGAGTTTTATACTATTTTAACTTGATTATGGGCTAGATCTTACGAGTATTGAACGTTTTTAATATACTTAATAGTGTTGTTTTACGGGTTGGTGAGATGGTGTAAATTATTGCAAAAGTGGAGGAACTAAAGTCATTGATATTAGGGTCATGCTACTTGTACTTGTTTGTTCACATTTTGATTTACTCGGGTCCACCTCCTTCTCTCACATGGGGGTCGGACCCTTGTCATGACCCCCACATGGGACACGACCTCATGTGAGAGGAGTGGTGGGGTCGGGTAACTTAAAGTGTCAACAAACATGTACAAATGACTTAATTCTTGATATTAACTGAGGAGAAAAGAGGAACGAAAGGATAAAAGAGTCAATTTTCTACATCAAAAGAAGGAAGAAGCGAAGAGTAACACGAAAGGCAGCTCCCCGACGCAACAAAATAAAAAAATAAAATCTCATAAAATAAAAAGCAAATAGGACAATTTATTGAAAAAAAAAAAAAAAAAAAAAGGGGAGAATGTAAACAAAAAAAAAAAAATGTTGGAGAATGTCAAGTAAGGTTTTACAAATGAATAGCGTGCTAGACATACCATTTAAGTATTTTGAGATGATGTAATATATTTTTTAATTTAATTCACGGTCCAATTGAAAATGTTCTTAAGCAAATTTTACAGCAACAAAAGTGTCAAAAGCCACCACTACATATGATCCCTTCAAGAAAAACTAGAACCCAGAAATTACAACTATGGTTTCTAGTTTTCAACAAATTCTTTACTAGAATAATTTATTGACAAAAGGTTTCCCATCATTTGGAGAATACTAATACATTTTATCCACGCAAGTAAATTTTGTATAATAAATTGATGTCTCTATTAAGCAGTCCTATTTTTTCATTAATATACATTGTTGAGCAGTTATGTGACCTCATTTCAATCACGCATTTTTCAATAAAATAATATTATACGTAAATTTAAAATATTTTCTTATTTTTTAATTATACATTCTTCTCATAACATTATCATCGCAAAATGTATTTTTGAAAAGAAGGAGGCTCAAACAAGCCTTAATATTAGAAGCTTCCATCATTAGACAAATATTTTTCCATAATTTATGTCCATTTGGCATCTGCTAGAGCCTAGAGCCAGTCTGGGATCTCTCCGCCCACATAAATTGAAGAGTCTTGTGTGTAATATTCTTCTATTATCTTGAGGCATAGATTCCATTAAGAGGGGACTAGAGACAACAAGTAAAATCACATCAAATTTAAATTGACCACATGCTTTAAATTCAAAAGCCCTCAAGACAAAGTAAAATCTTTATATATAAAATTAATTCAAAAATGTATAGTTGTGTGTTTCGATGACTACCACAAAATGGTATTCTTGTGTTTGCTAAAAGTCGTTTGACTCAAATCCACAGAACGGTAGAAATATAATTTTTTGTAAGAATGATGCTACACTTACAGGAAATCTTTCACTCATTTTCTACAGGGAGACAATTGTGAAAGATATCCCTATACATTCAATTTTATTCTTTTGGTAACTACGACGAAGGAGACTTTATAGTTCGTGAAGAGTTTTACTCAATTTTAATAAATTAACTATCGATAAAAATTTTAGAAAGTTGATTTGTTAAAATTAAAAATCCAAAATTAACTGCATTAGTCGTAACATGTATTTTATTTTATTTATTTATTTATTTTCATGAATTTTAAGGATTGAGCTTTCTGGCGACCCATGAAATTGATGGACAAAATTTGAGTGGATTAGTATTTATTGCGACAATCAACTTGACCTCAACATCATTGCACAAATTCAAGTCTTAGAACAGAGCAATTAACATTTTAGCTAGTTTACTCACACGTTCAAACTCTTTAATAAATTGTTGCGAACAAGTAAAGAATATGATCAAAACATGTCGATTCCTCAAGAATGTCGGGAATTGACTATCAACGTTAATTGATTCGGCTGAATATTTAATTTATGATTAAAATTAAAATTTCGTTGACAATTGGATATATAAAATCGATTTTTATCAACAAATTAACTCGTTGATTCAAAATTGAATGCTGAGATTGAACTGAAAATGAAATTGGTAAACTCTTGAAAATATTTAGTTTATTAATAAATAACCAAGAAACAACTAAACTCTTGTAAAAGCTTTAAAAAAAAAAAAAAAAAAAAACCTACAATGAAATTATTAGGTTTTATGTACTTGGGAATTCTGGTAACAAAATGACTGAAATAAATGTTGAAAAAGGTCAACGAGTTAGTTGCAATATTGTATAGTTAAATTAGGTAGGTAAGGGTTTGAGTCCAGAATAAGGAAAGAAGAGACACCACAATTTCGCTAGCCCGTCACCTGAACATTGCTCAAGCGACAAAAATAAAAACATTTTCCCTTCCCTGTCTCTCATCTCTAGCTCGAGTGACAGACCTGTCGCTCGCTTGTTACTAGACCCTCGCTCAAGCGACAGTGTTATGCGAAAAATCTTAGTTCGCATTTTTGAAGTGTTTTATCCAACCCAAACTAGCTAAACACCTTCAACTATAAAATATCCAAGCCCTAATATGAAAATTGGTGTGGTTGTTCATTGTGTTGCCTCTCCATATCATTTCTTGAAGATTCAAAAACACAATCCATTGGTGAGACCATTCAATTTATTTTTGAATTCACACAACCGCGTTAAAGAAAATTATCAAATCCATTAAATCCAAAACACCTACTTTCTAAACACCCTTCGAAAAGTACTTTTTCAATTCAACTTCAGAGGCTTCTGAAGGTTGAGAGAGGTTGGACTACAAGTGTTGGAAGATTACAAGAATTGGATATTCTTGGAGTTCACTTGAAAGAGATAATTGTAGAAGTTCGAAAGTTGATGGAGTCAACAGATTT